CGTATGTATCTCGCATAACTCAGAAACGAGTAGCAAAACGATGAAATTTTGTATATAGGACTGCTATAATATGTAGATGTGCACCTCCTATTTTGGTTGCAATAGGCAGCCCCAAAGGTATATGAATATATGTATATACGCTGATACTTTGCTCAGTGAGTCAGTTTCTTATTTATATTTGTAATTGTGTATTTTGCTTTAAAATGATTAATTATGTTGTTCTTTCTCCCGGTTAAGGTTTTGGTGTACTTTGGTTATACGGTTTGCACGGTTTTGGCGAGTTTTTGAATTTCTTTTGGCGAGTAATACGACTTATGGTAAAACCCATTGTGGATAAGTTATTTTGTACCGATACTTTTGTTGACATTTTATTTAAAAATATGCGTGTTATTAGCATAAATTCCGTGTTTTAAATATTATTTATGGCTTTTTATTAAAAATCACTTTAATTTTGCATTTTTAGTTGAAATAAAAATTTATTCTTATCATTTTATGAAATTTTATCTGGGATGATGTAATCAGTGACGTCACCTTACTTTAAAAGTATGTTTTAATATCTATAAATTAATCTAATTTTAAACATATTTTGGCTGTTAAATTAATTAAAATACATTTATTTTGCTTTCTTTTTTTAAAATGATTTTATTATGTATGATTATTTAAATAATTTAATTCTGCGTGATGTAATCAGCTCTCTGATTGGTTTTAGAATATTTGTGCATTCATGAGGCGTAATCAGCTCCCTGATAGGTTTGCTGAAATTTGTGCATTACCGCGCCATTTTAAAATTTAATTCATATCTTCGAATTCCTTCAAAAATGTCTCCTTCAAAGATGAATGTTGTTTTTTGTAAGTACCAAGAATTTTTGGTTTCGGAATCAAAAAATTGTCTTTGCGACCTTATTTTCGCCAGCCTACTTTCCTAATCAAAGATTTATTTATATTTCTTACAAGGGTCAGAGAAATTTTTTTAAATTTTTGAGGAAACGTCGCTAATTTTTCTTCAATGAAGTGCGAAAATGTAGATCACAATGAGACCGTTAGAAGAGTCGATTCTGACGGCCGTATAGGATATTGTGGCCATGTTGGAAGAATAACCGCGGAACGGTAAAAAATTATTAGCCATCCTCCTTTTTACGACAATAACTAATTGCTGTATTTAGCTCTAGTGTCGAAGCATTCTTATTACTTATTTTAAAGTATTTATTTAAGTAATATTTTAATCTTGTAAACGTTGGTATGATGGTTTATAATTCGTATTCAATTTACGTAATATTTAACCAATTAAACGTTTGCGCAATTTTTTATAGTGGATTTTTATTCTATTCTATGCTATATGAAAGTAATATTTTAACCTTCTTTGTTTTTACTCGTAGTAAATGTATTTATTCTATATAATTATATATATATCTATATATATTCTATAACGTATTTTAAAGATTTAATTTAATAATATTCTATTTTTAAATGTGGATGATGTTTTTTATTTCGATATTCAATTTCATAATATTTTAATCTATTAAACGTGCCAATGTTTTTTAGCGGTGGTTTTAGCTCTTTTTTTGCTATATGAAGTAATATACTTACTTAGTATTAAACTCATAGTAAATGCATTATTACACTTGCCTGCCATCTTAAAAACGACATTTCAACAAAAATTAATCCATTATTTTCTAACGATTTTTTTTTTTTTTTTTTTTAAAGTTTTGATACGACTATGGTAAAAACGCGTTTTTCAAAATGCGACGTTTGTAGAATCGCGCCAACATTGCGCCAAGTAAATCGCCAAAAATCCGTGCAACGTCTACCAAGAACACAAGGTTTTTATGCCTTTAGTTACCGGGATGTTATAGTCGTAGAATTTATCAACAGTTTAAATTTGTTTAGTGCGGCTAAGCCTAATTTGTTACGATAGAGCATATTGTTCATTGAACTTATCAAATAGTGATTTGTTGCCAACCAGAGGAACTAAGCTTCGCAACAACAAAGTAACGTCTTCTTTATTATTGCGAATTTACTATGCTAATTCATTTGAATTTCATTAAGTTATTAAATATCTCACATAGATAAGCATAGCGTCTAAAATAGGCATTTCTATAACTTCCGTGTCTTTTTCCGATGAGACCAAAGTAACTTTATTTTGTGCACTGAAAATCTGCCTTTTACCCGGCGCCGAATTGCTTGTTTTTTAGAAAACTTAATTTAACTGTAAAATTTTTTAACTGTACTTGGGTTTTTGTTTTTATATCTCAATTTTAATGAAATATTTGAATTTTTTATGATTTTTGTCTTGCCGCGAAGTGAGAACTGAATTAATAGTAGCGCATGTGGATTAGTTTTTTTTTTTTTTTTTTTTTTTTTTTTGTTTTTTTTTTTTTTTTTTTTTTTTTTTTTTTTTGTTTTTTTTTTTTTTTTTTTCCTATAGTATGTGAATAGAACATGTGGTAATTCTTCGCTTCTATTTTTTGCGCATCTCAGTTATAAAATAATGAGATGTAGCGCTGTTTAGTGAACCTAACGCCAAGTGTCCTTGGTAAATAAATATAGTGAAATTTAAGATGAGGTAGTCTTACGTGTTATGCGCTATCGACGAAATACTCATGTCCATATTAAGGTAAGCAAATCAGGCAAAGGAAGAGTTAGAAGCAAAACAAATTGACTATTGTAAGTATTTATTAACAAAGTAAGAGCAAAAAACAAAGCTATTGTTTGATTTATTAAAAAAATAGCGATTTTTTCTCCCTGGAGCAATTAAAAAAATATTTACAAAAACCAATAGTACATGTTGGTCTGATTTAATCAGTGATGTCTCCAGACGATGCAATACAGTCCGACAACGCTAAGCATCTGAGATCAATTACGCCTGATTGGGGATATTACACCACTCAAAAGCAATGCAATCGAAGTCCGGTAGACATTAGAGGAGGTGACGGGCTGCACTCGTCGCCAATTGTCCCAACGGTCTATGGTTCCAATCGGTGAAATGCTGGCCAGTGTACGGTGATATCCTCCGATTGAGGCTTCGCTTACGATTTTGCACGGTGAGGACGGCGTTTTCATCCATAACCAATTGTGCCCATGGCGCCCCGAACAAATGTACATGTTTCCATAATGACCGAGAGAAGATTGCTTGATTTCCATGAACATGCAGGTCGTTTGGACCCAAATAATCCACCCCAAACGACACTCCTGCACCACCGTAACGGTATCGTTCAGTGCGTTGTTGGTAAGGTACCTGGAGCTTCCATATGAAAGTAAGCGAGATCAGACTACAAGCTAAACCTGGTCGTCGGAAACTCAAAGCCCACTGTTGCGGTGGTCCCGTGCATGCTCTCTCTCAGGCTAACTCAGGCGACGTGAGTAGCAATGTGGAACGCATCTGACAGTCTACGAGCATTAGACCAATCTGCCTAGTCCCTAAGGGGGGGGGGGGGGGCGCGCCGGTCTTAAAGGTCTGCTAAAATTGGTCGACAGGTCTGAAGGCTGTGCCCGCCGTTCTTTTGGGAGTAACTGCCAAATACCGGTCCTCATCGGCGTTGTAACCTGGGCGACCTGTGCTGTAACGTCTATTCACATTACCGTCATTTGTAATCGTTGCCAAGCTTGAAAGACTCTCTGGGCACTTCCAAGTTGTCTAATATTTCAGTTGGGTATCGCCCACCTTTCAGACGGCGATATTCTACCACGTAAAAAATCATCCATATGCGCTCTATGTCATAACTATCGGTTATTGCACTGAAATGCTTAAGAGCCTGCGAACATTGTCTTCTTTGCCGTATTCTTATCTATCGCTCTCTACATCTCTCATTTTGACGTTACCATCGGTGTCATTTGGTACCCTGAAATTTGCATATGATTTTAAGATGTGGTAGTGATTTTACAGGGATTATTATTTTAGAGTTCGATTTCCGCGTGATTCCGAATTATCCTTAATTTATGGACATGAGTGTAGATTTATTTCAAAATTCGTCAACTGTTAATTCAACATGTTTAAATGAAATGCAGGAAAATTGCGTATAATTTAATATTTCGTACAAGAAAGTCGTGTGGTGTATATAGCAGATTTTTTGAATATAAAATGATATAAATCAAGGACTACTAACTTGCGGCCCTTGACTCATTTTTCTACAACCCTTGTTTCACATTACAACCAAAAGGGGAGGTGCACAAATACATGTTATTGTTACATACAAAATTTCAACTTTATGAAGATACTCGTTTCTGAGTTATGCGATATACATACATACACGTACGCAGGTTCAGACGCCATGAAAAAAAATCTCTTCTAAATGCATTTTAAATCGGTTTTATAATTTGATTCGGGAAAAAGAGTCCTTTACTGTGTCCTCACTTACAGATGTCACGCAAAAACATCGTTAAATTGCTTTCGATAGCGGTCAAAATGAATATTTTCGTTGAAATATGACACCTGGAATTTTTCATGAATACAATACTTCTTTTACTGTGTACACGGAAATAATAAGAAATAATATCATTGTTTAAATATTAAGATATTTCACTAATAGTCATTTCTTCATACTGCATAATTATTATTATGTAATTAACTAAATATTAAGTAAGTGAAGAATCTAGAATAAAGCATTTTGAACCAAATAATCTCACTGAAAAAAGGGATTAGGGGCAATCAGAATGCGCAACAAAAACTAAAAAATTTTAAATTTGCGTCATCAATTTAAGAATTTTTTTAGAATTCTGATAAAAAATTAGCACGTATTCTTTTCAATTTCGCAGTTTTCTAGTTAGATTTTAGTCTTGTGATAAAGAAGGAAAAAGATTACACCTGTCCGTTTCTGAAAAGGAGCTACAATGCGTTTTCCAAGTGTGTGTGTGTGTGTGCCGCGGGTGGGGTAGGATTCCTCATTTATTTAATAAATGGTAATAATAAGGGATGACTTAGTCGACGACTATTTTAAAACCTTCTGGAAGAAATGAGATTGCATATTCATCTCCTAAAAAGTATTCATTCTATTCTTCTATTCTTTTTTTTTTTTTTTTTTTTTGCTTAAATTAAAATTAAAGTCGTTGAATTTTCCCAATCGTAACTGATTTCGATTTGTTTAAAGTATTCAAAATGGGTGCCAGGAACAAGGTGAACCATTACAGAAGTTTCGAAACTGGATTTAGAATATCTGCTTTATTGTAATTTTCTTATATTTAATTGAAGGTGATGCAAGCGAAGAAATAAATAAGGTTTGAAAAAGTGACATTAAAAACAACTGCTTTTGTCAATTCACTAGCATAAGAGCTTTCACTTAGCTTCAAAACAACAATTATTTTTAAATGGCTTCCTTTGCAACAGTACATTGCATGTCAATGTAACAAAGCAAGCCCTTTAAAAACAATATGTATTCACTTAAAAAATGTTATACTTTTTAATGGCAATATAGATGCCCACTTTGATTGCAAAATGCGCTTATGAGGAATATCGCCTTGATGTGCACTCTGTATTTTCGTCAAAACAATGTCATCACAAGAACGAACACTTGCGAGTTTCCCACAAAATGTTCTTCACGAAGGCATCTCCTCTTTAGGCAGATACTCATCACATATTTCACCATAATCGATTAAAGAACAACAAAAAAATGGTGTCGGGAACTTAATGCAGTAGAGCGATTATGATGATAACTCGAGCCAACGGGCTGGCTACAATGGTATTTTTCTTCTTTTTCTCACGCGTAACATAAACACAATCTAGTTTCCTTTCGAAAATTCTCCACGAAGTCGTCCCTCCCTTAGGCATACAGTTCTCCTGTCCTTTGATTCAAGTAATCTAATCATTGTGATGACATTCCAGTTTAATACTAAACTTTTAAAATAAAGAGCAAGAAGTTCTATGTGAATCATTCTAAATATTTCTTAATATAAATTTTTTGCACCAGTTTTGAGTGCCAAAGATGTAAATTCCGAGTGCCAAAGATGTAAATTCCGAGTGCCAAAGATGTGAATTCCTAATATTAAACAATTAAAAGTTGAATTTAAAAGATTTTAATTTCTTCAAAAATAGCTGGAATCATTAAAAATATTCATACTATGTGGAATGTAGATAATAATAATTTAATTCTACTCTTATATGTCCTTGACAAGTTTTCTTTTCCTGCAGGTGTCTATCCAAATTTTTCGCTTATTTAAGGTGTTTGCAGCTAAATGACGTTAGAGAAACGCTGAAATGACGTTAAAGAAACTCCGTTATCAAGGCTGCGTTCGTAACCACAGCCATGCAAGCAAACATGACTGAACTGGAGAATTATAAAATTCTTTAAATTAAGAAATGAATTCGAATATATTCTTTAACTGCACTTTTCGTCCACGAACGAGAGAAAGGAGGAAATGAAGCACACTCAACTGGAATAGGCCAACTGCCAGGAAAGACGTAATTGACGCGGCTGTTAATGAAGGAGACCCACCTCTGCCCTTACTGCAGTCCCAGTGGCATTTGAGCGTTATCTGGTCCACGAGAGCCGTTGAAGCAGCTGCGCACTGGCGGCGGGCCGCAGCTTTGGCCGAAATGCGGGGAAAGAGGTCCGACTTTCGACGCGACAGGCGCCGGACAGGCAAGTCCTCCGGCCGGACCAGAGGGGTGGAGGAGATGGGGAGAGCCTCGTCTGATGTTCCTGGTTCAGAAGCTTCGCTGAGAGACGGCTCGTCTTCTGTGGTGTCCTAATCAAAGAAGAGCTTGTTGAACATTTAAAATGGCAACATTATGACAAAATCAATTAAAACTGAAATTTTACATTACATATTTGAAACCAAACAAAAATTTAATAATTTTATTTGTACGAATTTTAGCTTTTTTCTTTTTTTTTTTTTTCAGATTTTAAATTCTCTCCACTTATTCGTTGTTTAGTAATTTAATAATGAATTAGTGGCGACGAACTAAGATGTTGCTCAATATTAAAGGAAACACTGAACAAAACTGAATGTCTTCAAATGTTATTACAAATGCGGACCTCAGGGATCTAACTTAGGTCCAATTTTGGGGAATATTGTGGTTAATATTGCATTAAAGTTAGACTTAGGAAATGATACACTTTTCAGGAATACGCCGATTATTTCATCGTAACTGTCGGTGGTAGAAAGAGATCAGACTTAGAAAGGAAACAGAAGAAAACATTAGAGACTACAGAAAAATGAAGTGATAAATATAACTTTAGTTTTAATAGCACTAAAGCAAAAATGATAATATTTCCTAAGCATTCAAAGCTGTTAAAACTCCAAGATTAGGACGGAAGAATGGCCTATTCGAAAATACATTAAAATATCTACAGTTCATTCTTGATAAAAAATTGATCTGGATTCCGCATTTCTTGGAAATGCGAGATAGAACACACACAATTGTAAATTATTTAAATCGCCTTATGACGCATAAATGCGGCCTTAGAGGGAAAATTCAAGAGGACTGCATAATTGAAGAATTAAATATACCAAATTCTATATTGGAAGTAGAAGTACCAAAATTTAGCAAACATCCAGCTCAATTCACATCAATCGTATGGCATATGAATATTCTCAATGAATTAAAAATAGAAATTTTTACAAATCCAAGGTAAAGTTGAAGCTGCATTTACAGCTTACCAAGATAAGCAAGTTCTAAAATGTGAAAAATTAAGACTACATAATTCAAGCACAATTTACCTAGCCGAAGCAATAACTTTGAAGAATGGCTCAAAGTTATTGAAGCTCTTTTCATGGGTAGGCTTTTCTCAAAAATAAAAAGTCACAATATGCCAGCACTTATGCAGACAGCCAAAGCGTTATGTTCTACGAAGAAAACATCTTTACTTATTTAAGCTCTTCAAGAAACAATAAATACAGAAATGAATATTCGTCCAATTAATCTAAACTGGATAGGGGAATATACAGCTACAACAGGGAAGGAAGCTGCTGATACAGCAGCTAAAGAAGTCATACTAAAAGATTAAAAGGTATGATTGGTATCCATCTTTCAATTTCAAGACTTACAATCAAGAATAAAATTTCGAAACAAGTTTCAGTAAAATGGCAAGGAAGATGAGATGAGGCAGATACAGGAAGATGAACTCATGAATACTTTCCACAAGTAACATTGAAAAGAATAAAAACAAATTTTGTGCTAATGCAATTAGCAACACATCATGGAAAGTTACCATATTATTTCTAGTGGTTAAAAAGTAATGTAAAATGGGGGTCCGGAACACTATGTATATATTATTGAAAACGAAGGCAAGGTGCTTATAATTAATCATATTAAAGTGAATCAGCAAGTATTTAAGAGCAACTAAAAATTATGACATGTACCGTCTACATTTATAAAGTCAAGAGAGCAACAGAAAATTATATTAAGTCTTCTTTCCATCTGTATTCTTATACACGCTTTCCTTCCTTACTGTATTATTTTATTACTTTATGTGCTTAACAAAGTATTAGTGGGTTTTGATCACGACGTTAACCAAGTTTCCAGTCGAGCGTGTGTTACTGAGTGGATAGCCAATCATATTGTTCGGGCAATTTCGGCACGGGGTTTTCCTCAGTGTTCTTTAACGAACGAGGAGGGAATTCATAAATATATATAGATGTAAAAACAAACGAATACTGATAGCGTTTCCATTTAGCATGTATTAATCCTTAACTAAATTTCTTTACATATGTAGATAGAATCGCATGAATTTTCTTGATTTGTCAGTTAAGTTTTAATCACCTGCAAATGATAATTATACATACTAAGATGGTACTTTTTTCGCAACACATTGATCAAAAGCTTTGACGATTAAAATATAAGGAATATAATCAGACCATTTTTATTGTCAGGAAGACACAGGTAATAATCTAGGGATATTAAGATATAACAACACTTATCTTACTCACAAATAAGAAAGAGATACATCGTTAAATCTTCTCGATTTTATAACTCTAGCAAAACACTGTGTAAAGCGATATTAAATAAATATTATTTGAATACTATAAATAAATTTAAAGTGAATTCTATCATGGCGACCACTTTCCTAAGACGACCATTACTGATAATGATCAATATTTCGAGGAACTTAAAAAAAAAAAAAAAAAAAAAAAAAAAAAAAAAAAAAAAAAAAAAAGAAGCTTGAATTATTATAATAAAAAAAAAAAAAAAAAAAAAAAAAAAACTCTTGCACGTGATACATTGGTAGAACAGTATAAATATGAAAAGGCCTGTTGTAGTGATAGTTTTGAAAATAAAAACTTGATCTTACTTTCGACAGTGAAATGTAAAAACTCTGTCAGTTTATACTGATAAAAAATCGAACAGAAACTTCATCACGTCATGTGATTAAACTTTTAATTATGTTCTTTGACAAGAATTATGCTTACTGGAATAAAATTATCTGTAAAGTCAATTTCGGTCATTTTTAATTATTAAAAAAAAATTTAAAAGAAAATAATCATTTACTTTCTTTTCTTTTCTTTCTTTTATAAAAGAAAATAATCATTTACTTTCTTTTCTTTTCTTTCTTTTTTTTTTTTTTTTAATATTTCCAACCAAACCTTATTTCAAGAGCTCTTGAATGAATTAGACTGTACCCCTATAAAGTAAGCAAGAAAGCACGACGTCTGCATTATGCAATGTGAACGCATGCTTCTATTTTCGTTATAATTACATTTACAGCTGAAGCACTCAACCGTAAAATAAGAAATCCCCTTTCGTTGTCATAACGATAGACGTTGTTACATTGACGTAAACTATTTAACACAGTTCAAACAACGCGTATTTCAGAATTCGCAAAAATAGCTGGTAATTTCTTTACTCACTTTTCTGATCGACATTTGGAACAGTTCATAAGTATCAATAACGGAAGACTATATAATATAAACTCTTTTCTTCTCTTCCTCATTTTCTTTCTTATCCTACTTCACATATGAGGTAGGAAAAAAACTACTTAATCACGTTCGACGATAAGCAGTAAGTATCACTCCAAAAGAAAAAGCAGATGAGTGCAATTTAATGTTTTTTAAGATACTTTTAATAAATACAGCTTTGTAAGGACTAAATGCCCTAACAGGAGATAGGCTTTTTTTCTTGCAGCATTTTTTTGCGTAGGAAAAGGGATGCAGGTATTGAATACAGTAATGGCACAAACCACGCAGTAATTGATACCTAGACACCGATGATGTTAGCCGAGACTACGTAAACTGAGACAAATGCACTTAACAGGAATTTTAATATGACTAAAAGTAAAACTTATGAAAGTTATGTGAGATTGAAAGATCTGCTGATAATTAGTGCGCAACTTACTATATAAAATAATTAAATAATTATATTAAACAACTATATTAAATAATTTTGTTTGAAAGATGAAATCTTTACACATTAGAAATCCCGCATTTTTGGACCAACATGGATATCTTTTCTTCCCTAGCAACTCTTTCTATTTTTATTTTTTTATTTGATTCGTTTAATTACGGTAAAGCTCATACGTACTATCTACTGATAGGAAATTATGTCTTCGTAGAGGACTTTTCGAGGAAAACTGGCTTCTTTACACATTACATATAGGAAAAATTGGAAAAATAAAACTTGTAGCTAGCCTTTTCACCCGAGTTAATTTGTCATTGCTAGCGCAAAAATACTTATTCATTCGGCCACGGATAAGTCATAAGACTTTTATTTCTTTCCCTGTAGTACAGAATATTTTCTATTTCTTTTCTTGTTGTTGCTAGATGTTGCCGCTTCTGAATCATTGTCTTCGAGGATTTTCATATCAGTTTCGAAGAAAATTTAGCCTTAGTTTAATTTTGAAATTATTGTAGCTCTTCTCCTACCCCATTCCCTCTCAAATGAATTCATCTCCTCATCCAGTTTCTTCAAAAACGCCTTGGTTCTGAAGTACCAAAAAATCGTTCAAATGTGCGTTCCAGTTTCTGATCAGAATAAAACACTCCGTCAGATGCTCTAAATTTTAGTCTTTAATTTTTGCATCCCGCCGCCCAAACGGGAAAGTGGTTAGTGATTCTGAATACCGTACCGAAAGGTCCGGATTCGAATCCAGAGATGGCATGGATGTAAAATTGTCTGTCCCTTCATTGGAGGTAACGATGGCCGCCTGTCAAGTGTGCCTTCCTAATAAAATGACCACCGCTTCTAGCCTTAGAAGTGGCCAAAGCCTAAAGTAACTAGTGTCCGCTATTAAACAAAACAAAACAAAACAACAACAAACAAACAAAACAAAACAAAACAAAAAACTGAAAGCTATCAGATTTTATATTACGCCCAAAGGGACTTTTTTTAACGTTTTGTGTGTTATCTTTGTTTAATAAATAGCATACTCTTCGCACTTAAACCATAAAATTCAATTCAACAGCAGTATCGCAAAATATTTAAAAGAGCATATCTTTAAAATTTCCGATACACAGTCTCGCGCGCAAGAGAAAAAAATGTTTTTTTTTTTTTTTTTTTTTTTTTTTTTTTTTTCCTTCCGTACAGTGTTGCCATTGCTCTCCTTGAAATCGTTGAGTTCCTTAATCAAAAACTCATAAATACTTTACAAAATATCAGCTCTCCAATGGCGGGCACTTGCCTACAACGGCATAGGCCATTCCTAAAGCCAGAAGTAGTGGCCATTTTATTGTGGAGGCACGTAATAGGCAGCCATCATTACCTCCTATGAAGAGACAGATAATTTTACATCCATGCATTGCTCGAGATTGGA